CTGCTGGGAGCTATAGGTTTGTTTGTATAATATCTGTCTGTCTGTCTGTCTGTCTATCTGTCTATCTATCTATTAATTATTATGTTTACCCTCCTCTGCAGCAGGTGCTCGTACCTCTCTGACCCTGCACACACAGACTGTCACAGGCCAGGTGATAACATTAGTCAAATGCTCTCCTGTTTATTTGTACATACCCTCCTTTTAAGGAGAGAAAGGGGAGCGGGGCCAAATCAGATCTTTCCAAATTCCATCCCTTCACCTGTCATCCACCGAGCTTGTTGAATGCTGGCTGAGGTGAGCGTGTGTGAACAATTGTTTCATCAAATGTAGGAGAGATCCGGATTATACTCTCTTTTGAGGCTAACATGCAGTATAGGCTCCAGTTATATATATATATATTTTTTACTTTATATTAATCATAGTTGGTATAACGTGTTTACGTGTAGAAAGCTTGAGCTGCCTTTTTGCAGTGTGATATTCAGATGATGTCATTTTTTAATAGTCCTATTTCTTCATTCTGTGTTATTAATTTGTCCTTAGTTTCCCCAGCTGATTTCAACTAAATGATTGGATGACTTGTTTATTTGTCATCGGGAAGAAAAAAAAAAGCATGTTGATTCCGGTAACTGTGAGTCAGCTGATTACCCAGAAAGCATCATAAAGAGTCAACAACACAGAAACCAGGACAGAAGATCAGATCACCCTTGGTGTTCAACTGTGGAAACAAGGCTGTTTAAAATAAAAAATAATTATCAGAAAAATTAAAAAGTAGAGATTATAAAATGTGTAAATAATTCAAAAAGCAACAGCCCTGTGATGGTTTGTTAAAGCCCAACATCAGCCCTGCCCTGGGGATCATGTATCATGACTATAACTACCATACCGTGTGTTGGCGATATCGCGCACCATGAATTACACAGAAGAGTGCACAACCTCAGCGCTCAACGGTACTCACAAAAATCAGTCACATCACAGCCCTTAACACGTGTGATGATGGGGAAACCCCAGTTAGTGCAGACCACTGAAAAGACTGACACGAGGAGAGAGGGACATTTCATCCAAACGTTTACGCATGGAAATCAGTCTGGTTTTAGAGGCAAGGGCATATGTCCATGCGCACGCATATTATATAAGGTACATATGAGTCTTAGAAGATTTTTTAATCTTTAATGTAAGCTGAGCTTCATTGTGGTATCTGTTGTATGGCTTTAAGATTAAAATAAGCAGGAGAAAGTCGCGACCATATCAATTCATTTAAAAACATGTGAGGTCTTTGACTTGTTTTAGAATTAATTAATTAAGTTTATACCAGCTACAAATGGGTTTTGCAGAATTAAAGTGCATGCTTCTTCATTTTAAATGTTAAAATATTTTCCAACTGTTGCTATGATAAGCTCTGGAAAGACATTATGGGGCTAAACTAACCACGCGCTAGATAGGCAGTTTTGTTCAATTATTTGTGGGGGGAAAAAAAAGACTTTAATCCCAACACAAAAATCCAAGTTCGTATTGGTCTATTAACTATATAGCATAGGTGTTACATAGATACACCCCTCTTTGGTGGTGCTGAATCCAGGCCAACACCCTTCAGTTGATGCGTAATTTACCTCGCCGTGCGTAATTAAGTGCGTCGCCGCCAGACCCCAGTATGTGTAACACTTTATTTTGAACGGTGCAATACGTTTCCATTAAACGTTATTAAAGCGCAGGGAGTGACGAGCTCTCATTTGTCTTGTCAGGACATCTGACAACCTCGTTAGCTCCCATTTTCCCCTGTCAGCTCACAGTGCGACACGGACACTGACTTCAGCCACTCCTGGCAAGCGAGTGATAAATGCGCCTACTCAGCCCTGCGCAAAACAGCAGCATTATTGTTGCCAGCACGAAGCATCACAATCAATCACAGGGAAGTCTGCGTGGCAGGTGTCAGTCTTAGGTTTTTTTTTTTTTTTTTTTTTTTTGTAAACCCAGCCCACTGTCAATCTTTAATCTAATTTAAAGGGTCATAGATTTGGGGCATACTATCCCCTAGTTTGGACTTCCTCTCTCCAGTCTGACTCGGAGGACTGACCATGTGCATCACTACAGACACATCCCAAATTTAGCCCTGCACAAAGGCCTCACTAGCAGATTAGAAGTGTCGCAAATGGAATTATTATGAATATATGTGCGCCAATTTGAGGATCTCGTTATTTTTGCGAGAAAAAAAGGAGGGAAGAAGAACACTTAATGGCATGGGATCTTTCCGCTCGCTGCACTTTCAGATGCAATTGTAGATCGAAGTCAGACTTGTCACGTTGAGCCAGAGTGAATTCCTAACATCCAGGACGTGCCTGTCTACTCCGGACAAATTGCATCCAATCACCCCGGGGGAATTCGGCTAATGTCTCGATCCAGGGCCGGGGAGCATGGAGAGAAAACAAATCAAACTCTGCACACAGAGCGTGTAGGGCTTATTAAAACATTTCACACAGGGGGAGAGAGAGAGAGAGAGAGAGAGAGAGAGGAGTGTGTGTGTGTGTGTGTGTGTGTGTGTGTGTGTGTGTGTGTGGGGGGGGGGTAATTAGGCAGTATTATCTGTGGACACTATCTTACATTGAAAATATTAAATGACCAATTTGTACATCTCTGCACACTAGTAACCGGCCTGACAGTTTTACATTCCTTGAAAAAACAGGCTGCATATGGACTAACTTTGGCTTTTTTTTGAAATGTTTACATAATTCAAGCGAATAATATATTTTTTAATATATATATATATATATATATGGTTATAAATATATATATATATGTATATATATAAATATATATACAGAATCAAGATTCAAAGTCCATAACTTTACGCATCTAGCAAAGTGTCAACCCATCTGAGGGCCCATTTCAAAACCAGTTTAAACTTGAAGATCAGATAAAAACCTTACCTCCTGGTCTCCCTGGAGCTTAATCCTAATTTAGATGGAAGGTGGATCCCCCCCCCAGTGTGGACGCTGCACTAGCTCTGCACTCAGCACTAGGCTACACCTTTTGCTTTCTGGTAACGTGCTCGGTCAGTCCTCTGGACATTTTTCTCTGTCTGCTACAGCGGCAGTAAACAATAAGCTCATGAGGCGTAGGCTATGGCAGCATGATGTTCTGCATGGCGAGAGAGGGGAGGTCGATCATTACACAATTTGTTTCAAATTTGATCACTAAGAGCGTGGAAACGAGACCCCCCCCCCCCCCCATAGATTGCAGACACTTTCCACAAGTTTCCTTCATCTTTTCCACGCAACCACATTATGTCAGATATTTTACTTCTCTAGAAATTGCTGTGATTGATAAATATGCATGAGTGCTGGGCATTGGGATTTCATGCAAATATAGGAAGATATTTACTGTCACCGTCATTTGAGTTGCAAAATATTTTCCATATATGCATACAAAATTCCTGTCAGTGTTGTTTAGTGTGAGTGTGTGTGGGTGAGAGAGGGAGGGAGAGGGGGGAGAGGTGGCGTTGTGCAGCAGCGTGGTGACGGCAGAGGGAAAACCGGCTGGACAGATTTGCGTTCACGCCTGATCTGCTTCTGGAGAGCGCGGCTGTGTGGGAAGGGAAAGGGAGCACCTGGCCCGACCGCTGCATCCCATCTCGTTTTATTGACAGCCTGATAAGCAGGGACCAAGCCGTGCGGTTTCCAGCGTGGATGTCGAGCACCCTGCTGCGTTGCACAGTATCGAGGCCTCTTAATGGTTGTTCCCTCCAAATAATGGCCCCAAACACAGCCAGTCCTGACCGGCCCCCGTACCTGCGCCCTCCGCCCCGGTCTCTTCCTGAGAGACAGGCGGTGGCGCGGTTGTCCATTTACTCACAGGTCTTGTTCAAATTGACACACACATCAGAGGTTGTGAAAGAGGCTCGGAGGCTTTTAGCCTCAGTAAAAGGGACACTGAAGCTCCATTACGAGCAGCGGATGACAACTTTATAGAGCTGTGGAAATAAAAACGTTTTCAGCGCAAGGTGAAGCACATTTTTTGTTTTGTTTATGAGCTTTAAATCCCTGACAGAGAACTAAGCCTGCATGTCTTATAACATCAGAGTTTATACTTCTGCTGCCAAAAGACATCATGAGAAAGTGTGCAGGTCTGCAGAGTGGGACCTGTCTGCACCTGTTCTTGTCCACACCTGTTGCACACCGAGCAAGCTCCAATTATAAACAAAACAACAAATATGCAGGCCTACTCGCACATGCCTTTTTAAAGCCTACTATTTGCCTCTATCTCCTCAGTGGCTGTTAAAGTCCACATATGATCTCTCCGAGAACTTGAATAAATGTTGTTGTTGATGATGATGAGTTAACGGGCAAAAGCAGCTATTGTAGTGTGATGGAAAGAGTTGATAAATGTACAGTCAGTCTATGAATATCTTGCAAAGGTTGAAAATACGTGCCATATAAACGTGAAAACAACAGTGGGCTGCAACAAAAATCCATGTTGCACGTTATTCATTTAATTTACTGAGACTTCTTTTAGTTTTAGAATAAGCTCGAATAACCACCAAATGTAGGACTGTTATTTTTAAAATCACTAGCGACACACTAGGAAGAAGATTACTTCCTGAGAAAAAAGTCAGCGGACCCTGAAGAATAAAACACGTTACTGAGATAAAACTAAATGAACATTGCAATGAAACAGAAATAAATAAAAATACAATCATTTTCATAAAGTTAAACATGCTTATGCTTAGTGTATTGTTGCTGTTGTTTGTTGTTGTTGTTGTTGCTCTGTCAGTCAGACCATGCACACATGCACCACACTCAGTGGGACAGTAAACAGGCCGGTGTGCTCCACATGTAGCCCTACGCTACCTTGTGCACTTCCCCATTCTCTGCTCCGCGTCCTGTCCAAGGTATGACGTCGACCCGTCGCTCCAGCCAATCACTGCCAACTTGAGGGCTGATGCTGAAGGGAAAGTTGCTGGTAAGAGCTGCAGATTTTTTTTCTCCCCACTCTCATTGACATTTCAACTCCACGACGGATCCAAAGGTAGATAGATTTTGATTCGGGACCTATAAGTTTTCTGTCGCTGTGACACGGAGGAGAGCTCCCACGGAGGACAGAAACCACTTTATGCGCATAGGATACCGGACACACACACGCCTGCTGCCTCGTATCCGGTGAGTTTGGACAGATTATAATAATAAAACGCTTACTGTACATCGCCATTAACAATGACATTATTCTTTTATATTCAAACACTGCAAAAATCGCGCATCACTCTTCCTTTTCTCACACTTTAAATGCGCAGAGAAAAGAGAAACACGAACCAAGCCTTATGCATTGGCAAAGTTAGGTAAAATCATTGGTTAAGTGCTTCCTACAGGAGGTGTGAGCACCCACACACAGCGATCTGACTCCCTTACTGCTGTAATTTATCACACATACATACAGCGTGTAATTAGCGATCTTCACCGAGGAATTAAGCGCACGTCAATCCTTTAAAAAGCATCCATTATTGTGAGCGTAACGCGGGGGGGAAAGGAAAGGCTCTGACCTGCACTGTAAACTGAATGTATGAGGGATCTCTTTTCTCTCTGCTCGATCCATCAGCGCGGTAGTGACGCTGTCCATCAACGTAATATTTTACTTTTTTTCTGCTGGTTCCACGCTCTGAAATCCACGTGTGCTTGGAGAAATTACTTTATAAGTATAGCCTACATATCAAGTAAACAGTGGGAAGCTGCAAAATTTATTAACATTCTAATTTTTAACTGATTTAAAATGCAAAAAAAAAAAAAAAAAAAGTGTGCCAGATTTCAGGTCAAATTTAGCATGCAGGGGAATGACATGTGCGCCCTCAGGGTTTTCACTAGACCGGGCCTGGGCCTCGGATCTCATCTCAGTCTTTTCTTTTCTTTTTGCCAAACTGAGATTTAAAAAAAAAAAAAAAAAATTCATTTAACCCCATGCACGATTTAGATTCCCTGTGATTTCATCAGTAGGCTGGAGGACTGTGGACGCCTCAGGTCCAGGCTCTCTGGTGTGTTTTGGTCCAGTGTTTCTTTCTGTCACGCTTGCCGAGCAGCGCTGTGACACCATTAGCCCCGGTGTTTATCCAAGCCTTCAGCCTTTTGCCAGGAGAGGGCTGCTGTGGACTGTACACCTTCTGTGGGGTGCACAAGAAATATAGATGTCTCCCCTAAAGTCTCCAAAAATAAGAAGATAATTGAAGAATAACTGAAGAAAATTACAGAGGAAAACATTAAAAAAAAAAAAAAAAAAAAAAGTACTGGTGTTTTGATCTCAAGAAAATATCCCAAAAGGGAGGAGGATGGTGCACCTTTATTTAAAATAAAGAACATTTACAGGCACATTTTAATGCCTTTAAAAATCGCCTATAAAGCAGAAGGCTTGGGCTTGTTTGGTCTTCTGGAAATATCTGTCTTCTAAAGAAGCGTCATAGATATTTGTTTCTTAATTGAATATTTACAACGTCTTCTGTGAAATAAATTGACACAGAAAGATTGTCAGTTTCAGGAACGCGCTCCATAAAAAATGGAGTTTGAGTAAATGTCTATGCAAAAAGTCTAAACAAGCATTTGATTGTTTAATTGTTATTGATTAAAAAAAACAAAAAAACAGAACCACACACGCAAATCATGTATGCAAATGAAGCGGCGACGTGCTCATGAATGTGTTTAGAAAGAATAAATGTGACAGAGCGAAGCGGCGTGATGAATGACAGGTCAGCTCCACGACAAGGAAACTTAAACACATCAGGCTCCACTTTCCTCCTCAGCAGTCTGATAGTCAAAGAAACCACAGAAACAACAACAATGAAAATAAAAATAACAACAATAATTATTATTATTAGAATAAATTATCACATTAATTATGGATTTTAATCTAATATTAATTTTGTATTTAAAATCATATTAACCAAGTCTATATTAAAATTATTGTATTATTTTTATTCAGTTTTATGAAATTATTATATATTATTTAAAATATATTTTTATACTGAAAAAAATTAGATTCAAAAATGACTGAACTACAATATTATTCAATATCTATTTCTCATCATCAAAATAATAATTACAAAACATAAATATAATTATTAATTAATAATATAGACATATAAATACGTTTAATAATAATAATAATAATAATAAATATCATAATAATCATATAATAATAATTATTATTTGGTGTATTGTATAAACTGATCGTAGGTGCATGAACAAGTTTTTTGAGCAGAGGCTTGATTTGATTTTCTGAATTTCATAAAAAGAGAAATGACCAAACAGGATTTGGTGCTTTTTTCTTTTTACTAAAAAATAACTCGTGAATTATCCTCTGAATAAAATAAAATACAACATTTTATAGATTATAGATTCAAGCTTCAGTTTTGAATGGAAGGAATAAACGATTAATTCAGCGCAGACATCTTTGATTCACTGCAAACAATCTTGTTACAACCTTGTCTCAGTTTCTAATAGAGCTCACCAGATGTCCTGATTAAAAGAAGGGAGCAAACTGTGACCTCAAGTGGGGGGATCATCACAAAAGCAAACAACTAACAAAACAGAAAACCAAAAAAAAAAAAATGAAATGAGAGTGTGTGTGTGCAGCAGTTGGACACATGATGCATGTCTCTGATATGAAGTCGCATCAGCCTGTAAAGGGTAAACTGTAATCCCAAACAAGAGCTCTCTGAATGAGCTGCATTACATCCTTTTCTCCTGTCTACAAACAATGTCACTGTTTTTCACTGCAACTCCCTCCCCTTCTGTTTTCCTTTCTTCCTGCCTTTCTTTCTTTTCTTTTATTTTTGTATTTAAAAGTTTCGAGATGGGTACAAATACCACATTGCCCCAGGGGAAAATAGCGACCAGATTAGGCTTTCTTTTCAAGGCCTGTGGCATTAGTTGCTGCTAATCCGAATTGGGCTAATTGCTTTCCCAACATCAGCCTATCCCGGGTTTAGCTTCCATGGCTATCCAGACCAAAACAGAAAAAAAAAAAAAAAACAAGGCAACATATTTTCTTTAAAGATTCTAACTGATAAAGTCGAACATCTACGTGTGAAGCGAAGGAAGACATTGGAAATAATAATAATAACATTGGGAAACTTCTGAGATTGGAGACACTGAATTAGCTCTGGAGCGGATTTACAGCTTAAGAAAAGAAATCAATAACCTCGTGGAGGTATTGTTTCCTGAGAAAACTACTTGACACACTCATCGGGGAATCTGTCTTTCAGCTGAGGGCAGGTTAGCGGTGTGGACTTTTGACAGCTGGGCCAATAACATTTGCACTACAAAGAAACACACGCCTTTTTTACGCACAGAAAATGAAGACTTTTGCAAAGTGAAATCCCCATTTTAGAGTTTTGTTTTGGTAGATGTCAGGTGTTTATCAGCAATCTTTGTGCTCAAATGAAGAATTGAAGCAGTGGCTGCAGCTGTGCCACATGGCTGAGGACGCAGAGTGTAGTAAACACAGTCGTGGTGCAGCCTCCTCTTTAAACTTTATTGCACTTTTCTGGAGTTACAAACTGCCTTGAACTCAGAGCCAAGCTTCCATCTCTGCTGTTCATATTTGTAACTATTTCAGATTAGTCAGAAGAAGAAAGTAGAGCTCTGCCTTTACAGTAAATCATTAAGAGGTTTTTTTCTGCACAGACTCCTTTAGGTCTGCGGAGAGGTGGAGGGGGTGTGTTTGTGGTCTAATGCACGTCTAATAGGGGGGTCCTTGACGTGAAAATGTTTGGGAACCCCCCCTCCCTCCCTCCCTCCGTGCCTCTCTTAGCTGATATAAGCAGGCCTATAGGCTGAGCCACCAGTCAGAGTGAGTAGAAACAATGCAGCAAGGAGAAACAGATGAATGTGCTCGTTTAGTTTACGGCTTGTTTGATGAAGGAGTATTGGCCAAAGTGTTGTTCCTCACCGCAGGACCCTCGGTGACAGTTTGAGCCGCTCCTCTCAGCTCATTATCTCGCCGGCCCACTGAGGGCCCCATTCAGGCCGGGCAGTCCCCCTCTCTCACTCTTTCCTCCTCTTCCTCCCTCCCTCTTTGCCCCTCTCTCTCTCTCTCTCTCCCTCTGTGGCAGCGTCGTTTGTCTACTCATTGAACCCATAGTCAGGAATGCGATGGTTGTTAGGGAGCCCTCTTTCACCTCCAAAGTGTTTTATTGATGAGCTCTGACTTCTCCTACTTTTTCACATGTCAAAGAAAGTCAAGTGTAGGCCTCCATGACTTCATTTCATGGCCTCCCATCCCAAAAAAACCCGAGCAATTTCTCTCCCCTCCCCCTGTTTCTGCCTGGCCCTCTCCCCTCTCTCTCTCTCTCTCTCTCTCCCACTTTGCCCTTTCATGCACCCCCTTTTCTGCTTCCACATCCATACAACCCTCATTCTCTCCCCTTCGGTTTCTTCTCCTTTTGGAGTGAACCGCGGGGCTCCTCGGTGCTCAGACTGGTGCTGCAACAGAGCTCCGGGTGGACGCTCAAACACGGGCGCAGAGGGGTTGCTTTTGGGTGCGTTGAGGTGTGCGCTAATAGCCAGTCATTCAAAACCAAGCGCAGTTTGGGGAAGCGTGTGGCCATGGCTACACAGTCATTTGCTTTACTTTATTTACGCGTGCTATTTGCTGTCAGGTCGCAGGAGTGACGTCGCCGGCCGCCTCGCCTCGCAAATGTGTCCATAAAGAGCAGTGGAGCTTGGCCTAAAGGCTCCGCTCTTTACGCATGGCCTTCTTGTTGACAGGAGGGGTAAGGCTATTCAGGGGAAGGTGATACCCAAAAGAATCAACAAAAGCACGTGGTGGGGATTATTTTTGATTGTTTATAGTGAGGGAAGGGGCTTGGCTTTGATTTGGAGCGTTTAGTTTCAAAGACAATTTCTGAAAACTCAGCAGAGAGGGTTTCCTCTAAGGAAGTTTGGGGATCTATAGATTATAACAAAAAAAAGGAAAATAGACCTGAAGAAAAAAAAAAGGGAATATAGACCTAATCTGAGAGTAAAACTGGTTTAAATCTCAGTTTTCAATACGTTTATGTCTAACAATCTCTTCTCTCTAATAACTTCTAAATCTGACACGTGGATGAAGAAAGAAAAGCCTTAAAAAAAATTAAAAGCCTATTTGTAACATCATAAAACGCTGCAAACCGCTGCTCGCCAGAATTTTGATTTGCTGTTATGAACTCAAACATTGACGAGCTCCACTGCTATTTCCCGTCCTCCTTTGCTTGCAGCTCTAGTTAGCCTCAGGTTGGAGCTGGACATGCCTGAGATTCCCTACACGGACCCAATTCAGCCTGGAAGAATAGAGCGCCCCGTCCAATGGGCATTTCCGAGGCAGTTGCTCTGCAATAGGGCAATATTCAGCAAGTGAGCGCAGGGTATTTGCATGCGTGGGCTGATTAGTGGGTTGGGAAGACGAGACTCTCTCTCTTTCTCTCCCTCCTTTTCTCTCTCTCGCTGTGACTCGGTCCTGTTTCCCGCTTTGGCTGTGGTGCAGGGGGAAGTGTTTATATGGGGGATGATGACAGAGGTCGGGTCGCGCTAATGGGCCAGTGAAGAGCGGCGGAGGGAGGCGAGGCGAGGAGAGGCGAGGCGCGCACAGCAGACCACGAACACATACATTAATACACTTGTTCCATCACCAATCAGCATAGGTGTGTTCATTCTCTTTTCGCCCCCACCTCCTCCTCCTTCTACCACTACCACCACCATTCTCCCCCTCCCTCCCCTCCCCTCCTTCCCTCCCTCCCTACCCTCTCTCGCTCTCTTTTCTCTCTTCCCCACTCTCTCTCTTTCCGACTCTCTCATTCGCTCTCTCACACGCCAGCGCACATCCTCGCCAAACTCCGTGCGTCCTGACATCTGAGTTCACTGTCAATCTCTGTCCACTTCGCAGGGATATCCCCTCCGTCTCCGCCGAAGACCACTGGAAACTAATTTTTCCCTCCTCTGAACTTCCCCCGAGAGAGAGAGAGAGAGAGAGAGAGAGACTGATCGGCTTTTTTTTTCACTTTCTGTGGTGTGGAGAACTAGGCTGAAGCCTGTAGTTTGAAAAGGACTTTGACAACGAGACAGGATGCCCCAAAAAGGTGAGAACATGACAAAAAGTTTTTGCAGAAATAATCACTTTAAAAAATGTTTTTCTTTATATTTTCTTTATAAGTGTATGTTTATCACTAGCCTGTTCTGTATTGCAGTTTATATGATGTTAGGTGATTGATTATCGTCTTTAGGATGAGGTTCAGTGTAGAGTTTGTGAGTGTTTCTGACTGTGCAGCCTGCTTTCCTCTGACTGGACTCGAACAGCCTTTAGCGTCTCTGTTTTATCTGCTCCATTTTATTGTGTGTGTGTGTGTGTGTGTGTGTGTGTGTGTGTGTGCGCGCTTAGGCCCTGCACGGATAGCTTACCGCTTATTTATGACAGTAAAGAGTAAAAAGTCACGTTGGGCCAGGACAGTGATCATCGTGGAGAATGGGGCGCAATGACCCGTTGAGGAAAGGTGTCAGATTGATTCATGCAGGCGAGTCAACCGAGCGCCTTGTGCAAAAAAAAAAAAAACAACAAAAAAAAGTGTTGGGCAAGATGACCGTTTTATTTGGTTTGTGTTTCATTAAAAAAAAAAAAAAACTTTACCCCAGTTTATTAAATAAGCAATTCTGCTAAAAATGTAAATCAAAAATATTTTAGACGTGAGTAGTTAAGCTGTGTAGAAAGCTGTCTTCAAAACCACTGAGACATCATCCTGACAGGCCTACCAGCGGATAATAATATTTCAAACAATATCAGTTTTAATTAAACACCAGACATGTTCAAATAAGCTTTTAAAACTATACTCAAAAGAAATAATAAATAAATAAAATAAAAATAAATATCGATTTCTTTTTGTTGTTGTTAATTTTTAGATAAATTCAGAATTATTCAGCCTTTAATAGATATAACAAAAACAGGCTAACAATAATAGCAAACCAACCACGCTCCTGTTTTCAAATGTAAAAAAAATACAAAAACAAAACAAATAAAAACAATAAAATATTTCATCTTTTGAGGGGAGATTAATTATTTAAAATACTTGCATTTTTTTTAAACGGATAGCCTAGGCTACATTAAATGTGTCCCATAAAATGTAAGAGAAAAACAAACTTCATGCATTGAATAGGCCTATAAATAAATATATAACCTCTATAAGACAACCTGCACCGGGGCTATTGTAGTGAGATCCTACATAAACCACTTCTGCATTTGAATGTTGTAAGAGGTCAGAATAAGCATGTTGAATTACGACATTGTTGTTCCGGATTACGAAAGGAAAAGAAATGCAGATTAGATCGTAGTTAACCTCGGGAACAACAACGTTTGAGCTTTCGACCCTAAATAAATGATTAACCACATGCACATTATGAGGTTTAAAGCTAGAGACTGATTGAACCCAGTTGCCAGGCTTAATTAATGCTTTTTATTTTATTTTGTCAGAATAGTCTAATTATAAAACCACGACATAAAATCAATAGTAATAACATAAATGAACTGGGGCTGCTCTGGTCATTTAAGTCATGCTAAAGAGGCTAACCCAGGCTATGTTGGCCATGTGATGGAATCCGCATTTGATTAATTCAGCCTATTTGTTAAACATGAAAGACACTGCAGCCTAAAAGCAGTAATGGCGGCCCTCTATATAAGTGCTCGTCACAAACTAGCCCTGCTCTACACACAGCCTGTTAGCCGGCGTTATTAGGCCATTTTGCTCTGCACACAACACAAGTTAGCATGGAGGGAGAAAACGAGGAAACTTCAGACTTCTCCCTGCCTGGCCCCCTTTTTATCTGTCTCCCCCCCCCCAGTCAATAGCTTCTTTAATGCATTTGTCTTTTCCAATTGAGCGCCCTACTGCGCTGTTGTGTCTTTCAGCCCGCTTTACAACCCGCACCAGCAGCACAAAATAACCACCAAATATTTAGAACAAGAAATTACCCCTTTTTTTAAAATTTTCTTTCGAAACGCAGGGCAAAACAAAACCCACATTCACGCGCTTGCGGCACCGGGGTCACGGTCGTGTGTGTGTGTGTGTGTGTGTGTGTGTGAGAGAGAGAGAGAGAGAGAGAGAGGGAGAGAGAGGGTGTGTGAATGGTCCCGGAGGGGGTGGATGCATGCCTCCGGCCCTTTGTATTAATCTGAACTTGTTGGTGTGTTTAGTAGGGAAGCTGTGTGTTTCTAGTCGCGGAGGCCGAGTTTTCGCCCGGGGTTTGTGGTACACGGAGGCAGAAAAAAAAAGAAGGGAGGGGGGTTGGCATTGTCGGGAGTCCGGCAGGCTTTGTACAACCAGCTTTGTACCCCCTCCTGGTCTGGACTTTTGCAGAGCAGTGAGGCGAGGTAGACAACGTGTGTCACTGTAAAGTTTCCACGCTATAGACCCCTTCGGCGGAGGGATATCAAGTTTTTAAATAAAGGCGTCTAACTGTGACGCTGAGGGCTGATTGTTTAATATAAAAAATAAGGCCCATAGAAAGAAAACCATCAGATGTAAAAAGAGATACTCAAAGCCTCATATCGCGTCTAGGCTGTTAGTTCAAATGTCTGTTGACAAGTGCTTAACATAGATGTTAAAATAATCATCTTCGCGTTTGCTTCGCGTTATTAGTCTGGCAGCAGCGTTGAGGTTAAGTGTAAAATGTAGGGCACAATTAAAACAGATACAGTACTACATCAGTATAGCTGTGGTGGCTGTGCTAATGTGTTGTTTTGCTTTGTCCTATAGGGAGACATTAAGTAGTGAAAACGGCAGATGATTGACTAAATTGTTATAGAGCGGACAGTCAACTCTGTTTCCAGGCAAGTTTAATTAAAATATATTATACACTGAGGATGTCAAAATTCATTATGCATCAGTAATGTTAAAGCACTAAAAATAAGAACCGCAATAATTCAAATCGAACGATCAGATGAGATAATTAATGAATAAAACATGTAAATAATACAGATGTGTATACAGTTGGATTGGATGCTGACCACTTCTGTTTTCTTCCTGTGACGCTTAGAATACCACAACCAAGCCACGTGGGAGTCTGGAGTAGCCTCAATGATGCAAAACAGTAAGTTGTTTTTATTTCATTTGAAACTTTTAATTACAACCGCAAAGTTTTGATGTGGTTGCATGGGAGCGACACCCACTGACATGCACTGGTTGTTATTATAGCGCACTAACTTTTTCTTCATTCCACAACACTTTAAAAGGAAATATATTCAGGCATACATTTGCATGACTTTGAAGTTGCAGCGCAGAAATATTCTCAGTTATTTGATGGCCTTTTAATTTATTTATTTATCTTTTACTTTTTTTTTTTTTTTGCAATGATAAGGTAGGCAAAGTTATTATTGGATAAGTTAATCACACGTCGTCCTGCTCCAGAGAGAGAGAAAGAGAGAGAGAAGAGAGGGGGAGGCAGAATAAAAGGGGGGGCTGGGTTGAGAGGGAGATTTTTTGTTTCTGCTTGAGTTGGTATTAAATAATTGCACAGCCTTCTGCATTAGCGTTAGAGCTGGCTGCCAGGCTGCATACAAGATTAGCTGCGTGGAGAAGAGCCCTGCATGAAACATGAGGAATAGGAATAATGTCTTATGTAGATTAGTCCATATTCTTCACGGACAGACAGCAGGAAGCAGAAAGAAAATGCTTGTATTATAACCGCAGGCCTCACTAGTTTCAGCGTGGAAGATAAATATTAACAACCATACTGTCGTGGGTGCCAATCATAAAAAAAAAAAACATGCTAGATGAAGCTGCTTATTAAAGTGGCCCATGATTTCTGTCTTTTATGCCTGGTGTGTGTGTGTCAAACAAAAAAGGATAAACATGAAACATTTTCTCTCTTGCTGCTGGACAAGAGGTGTATGACATCTGTGATGAAGGTGTGTGGAATAATTTTATTATATTATTCTCCATATACCTCGATGACGTGTCTGTGCTGTAATCTGTGCGCATTATAGTCCAAATATGTTTGAATCCAATGCTGACAGTTGGAGTTTTTTTTTTGTTGTTTTTTTTTTTGATGTGCAGAGGTTTGTTTCAAAAGGAAAAATTCTTGTACAAACTGGGGGGCAGGAGAGTTTTATTTGGAAGGCCGCAGCGCTTGCCAGTTGTCCATTATAGGGGATGATGGGGCCTTTATCAAAGCTGTGTACAACACCCAGCGCTGCTGCTTTGCTGCGGATTGATGATAATGGGATGCTCCCCTGGCTTTGGCGTGTGATGTCTGCTGCGAATTGCCGAGCAGATATCATTGGGCCCGGCCCTTTGGGTTGTCTAAAGGTCGCGGCGGCCTCGGTGGCTTTTGTGTTAATAACTCCTGGGTGTATATGGTGGGGAGCGTCCAAATTGACACCATATGTTTTCCTATTAGTCCACTCGCAATAGAATACAAGGCGCATAATCAGCGCCAGCGGGCGAGATCGACTCCGGGCACTTGAGGGAATTGTCGCCATGATTAAGACTTAACCTTTTAGCAGAGTTTGATTTTTATGTGATGTCCTTATCTGACGGTTTTATCGATCCGGAGGATTTATTTGATTGTTATAAATCAGAAGTGTATACATGGAGAAGCCGTGGAAAGCCCGCAGAGAAAGCAGGGGCTGCTTAATGCGCATAGGCCAATTTCAGTGTGAGAAGTCTATTAATTCCACTTAATCCTGGAATTACCAAAGAGCAGGAGGGATGATAATGGATTTACTATCAATCAGATCCACGCTGGAAGATTATTACACACAGCGGCCAAAAGGGATATGTTACCCCAGTTAAACAGGTTAATTCTCACAGAGGCCTTTTTTTAATTTCTGGTAAATAAAGTGTGCAGTTTAAATCACAGCACTATGACATGTTTCAGGGTTAAGACGCCCACTGATTGCACACAACAGGGCTGCAGTGGCTGTGAGCATTTGTTGTCAAATACAAACAAGGGGGGGAGAAAAAAACTGCATGTCACTTTTAATATGTTAAGAATCCAGGCGCGCCCTCGTTTGTGTGACCGCGCGTAGCCCCTGGCCACCTTAAAACGAAGTCTCCCTCGGAGGGTAAACGAGTAGCGTCCAATTTTGTCTGAGTGATATCCAAATGCAGACAGAAAGGGTCGTTTTATCATGCTACTATTTGTCGTGACGATGCGATTTTCAAAAGCAGAGCGGTGTCATAAAGTGACATGCCTGCCACAAGTGCTCCAACTGATCTTTTCAATTAGCCTCCCATGCATGATCCGAGGCGACTTCCGCCTATTTCCAGAAATTAAGCTCAAACTTGACGTGCAGCTAGCTTTATTTTAAAGACAAATGTCAGGCAGGCTCATCATATTTTCCCCCTCTTCTATATTTGGAGCTTATTTATTGCTAAGGAGCCTCTGCTCCCGGAGTCAATGTACCGGGCGGCAGCGCAGGGGAAGGCAGCGGAGAAACAGAGAGCAGCTCAGGCACTCCGGGGAGTCAGCTCTCCCATTTGGCTTCAGGTTTGCGGGCTTATTCTTTGCTTTAGAGGGATTCTATAAAACAATTTAGGAATAATTTAGCAAAAAATATCATTTTTATACAATAACCAATTATAAAAAATGCTATTTTGGAGCTAGTATCCTGTATGCTGCCTGCTTCATTGATGCGCAATTATTGAATGTTTTGGAGGAAAGGATGTCGATTTAAAGCTACTTTCTCGAAAGCGATGCATGTGAATGCACGCTAATTTAACACATTGTTTCAGGTTTAGTGTTGTCTGTTGCTGTCTGTGCTGCTGGTTATTATTTTAGGATAGTTCATAAGTCGGAAGCTGGTTTTGGTGATGCGCAGCTGTTCAAGTTAGGATGGATAACGGTGCGGATGTTTAAATACCAAAGTTTGCTGGTTTGAGCAAATGTTGGTTGTGTTTCCTCAGGGCACAATACCGATCGACGTGTTCGTTTTTATTTCAAAAAAGGTGTTTCGGTGTGTTTATTTTGTCGTCAGATTAAGGTCGTGTTATTCATGTTGTGCATGTATTACTGAATAACTGTGCAGTGTTTGTCTTCAGAGGGGAATGCACCGAGCGACGTAACAGAGTCTTAAACAATCGTTTTAACAGAACACTTGAGATGTTTTAACACATTTTACAACCTCATATATAAAAAAGGGCTTATCGTATTTCGAAGCAAACTCAAATAACCTTCTGTCCTCCTGTCTCCATGTTCCATCTTGAACTCGGTTTTTTTCCTGAACGCTTCTACCATCCTCCTTATACCATTCAATACCAAATTATTTGCTTTTACCAGCCAATGTTTTAAATGTAGGGGGATGATGCGGTGTGATGACTGCGATGCTTTTGTCTCCATGTAGGTCACAGTGGCGTAAACCAGCTTGGTGGTGTGTTTGTTAATGGTAGACCGCTGCCGGATTCCACCAGGCAGAAAATAGTTGAACTTGCCCACAGTGGTGCTCGGCCCTGCGACATCTCCAGGATACTGCAGGTGAATATTTCAATTCCTTTTTTTTAAAAACAGGATCAAACTGACTTTCTTTTCAATCGATACAAAATTCTCTTAGGGTAAAAATGGAAGACATAATAAGGGTATGATTTTCATATTAAATCAATGTTTTCTGTGGCCTAAATGTTGAATTGCATTTAAAGTGAGTAAAATTATTATTTATTAGTAACATGTTTCAGTTTACTGGAAATGTCCAATGAAGCACACACACAGTAAAGTTATGTGCCTGCTCTTAGAAAGAATACATCTATTGTAAAACAAACGCCTAATATACCATTCAAGGCATATTCTTTGTGTTTATAGACCCATGATGAAGTCCAAGTGCTGGACAGTGAAAAGGTGATAATTAATTGACGTCATCTTAGAAATTCCGTTAATAGTCGTAAATAATGTATGTGAATTGTGTCTTTTGTTTCCTATCCAGGTATCCAACGGCTGCGTGAGCAAGATCCTGGGCAGATATTATGAAACTGGCTCCATAAGACCGAGAGCAATAGGCGGCAGCAAGCCCAGGGTTGCCACTCCGGAGGTGGTCGCAAAAATCGCTCAGTACAAGCGGGAGTGTCCGTCTATCTTCGCGTGGGAGATCCGTGACAGACTTCTGTCGGAGGGGATCTGCACAAACGACAACATACCCAGCGTAAGTGCATTGACTGTAACTTATGTGCATGATTTAATTTGCCACATGAAATGACTTTTTTTCTCATGCAGTGGAGGAAGAGGAGATGGGCAACCATCCGTTCACTCTTATTAAATACACTGCTGCACCCAGACACACTGAAGCATCAGTGCGATGTCCATTTTATGCGCTTTTCAGGAAACTTCATCCTCTGCACATTCCTTATCATTCTGAGGAATTATAAACTGATATGGTGCTCCACCTAATCCCAATCCTCCAGTCTCATCATATGCAATTTGTCATTCAGGTGTCATCGATAAACAGAGTCCTCCGCAACCTGGCTAGTGAAAAGCAACAGATGGGCGCAGATGGCATGTATGACAAGCTGAGAATGCTCAACGGTCAGACAGGAACTTGGGGGACCCGGCCCGGCTGGTACCCCGGAACATCAGTGCCAGGGCAGCCCAACCAAGGTGAGCCTCATTATCACACTTTGGCGATAAAGACACCTTGACGCACACACGGTTGTATCACAGAAGGAATCCAAACCAGCCATCTATAGGTTTCATGTTTTGGTCAGTAACCCCACCAAAAAAAAAAAAAAACCTTCAGTAATCTCGATTTGAACTCCACAGAGGTCACCACAACCCCGTCATGTTTGAATCTGAATAGTTTTACAGCTCACTCTTCCAGTGGTTCCGGTCCACGGCTCTGTTTGCAGGGAAGGTATTGTATTGGCATGCTTTGATGCCCTGAACAAGACCCCCAATTAAGACTAGTCGATTAGAGGAAGCTACAGGCCGTGCATGCAGTCTCAATGCCTCCACTGTCCCAGACATGGATGTGCGTGACAGCGGCTTGTCCTTTCAGCAGAGGTGTCCATCCAACAGCCGGAGTTTTCCTCCCCTCCTGATGGGGAGGCCGAGCTGTGTCTGTGAGTGTGTGTGTGTGTGTCTGTGTGTGCGGGGATATTTAGTACAAAGGAATGTTTTCCTTCACACGCAATGATTGGTTATGGGAACACTCCGCACTACGTGTAATTGCTCATTAGAGAGGGCTTTGTCTCTCATTATGGCAACATGCAGGAGTGTGGAGACGGTCGGGCTGCTGTGGAAATATTCCACCTCACAGGGTTTCCCGCAGCAGACCGAACACACAGTGCGTTTTTATGAGAAGAATCACAGGTGCTTCGCTCATAAATGTATAAACCCAGTGTGTATAACGTAGAAGCGTTCTCTTGTAAAGGCGGAATTACGCGTGCTGGAATTCAGTTCAATGTTAGCAATGGTTTGATTTGGACACGTGGGGGGTGTTTTTAGAAAGCAGTAATGCGGAAACAATCAAATTAACATATATTTGCGAACGTATTATAATTATCATCATTATTATTATTATTATTATTATTTCCATAGATGACTGTGTTCGAAGCTCATAAGATTGAGTATTATTGATTGTTAATTTACCTTATTGAATCACAATTATTATTATCATGAGCCTATAAGTAGGCCAGTCATAAACTATTTATAATTCTATCATAAAACTAAATATTATATAGTGAAAATAAAACGATTCCCCTGGTTGTTGTGTTGATGCATTCACTTAGTACTTTGGTAAATCAATCGTCCCAGGGGAATAAAAATATGTTTTCCAGCCGACAGCCCAGTGCGCAGATAGAAAGGCTCCGTGGAGAGTGACAGGGCCCCAAAAGAAGACAACTCTATCCAAAGAGCAACGAATAAAAAAAAAAACTCCGCACCGATTTTTCCTCTTTCATCTCTTTCTCATTCTCACTCACTGGCTATATGGCTCTAAATCCCGTCTATAGGATTTAGTCTCTCACTTTCCCTTTCACTTCTAAAGCGGGTTCTCAAGAGTGTTTTGATCCGGTCTCAGCAGCTGAAAGGTGCCGCAATTGGTTCGGTATCTCTCTCTCTCTCTCTCTCTCTCTCTCCCTCACTCTCTCTTTTTTGCTGCTTTTCCGCCTCACTGGCTGAGACATCGTGATACTAAAGAATGAGTTTATTTCCCAGCGCTTTTATAAAGAAAACAAATCCCATCCCAGCGTCAGTGGGTCTGGCAGACGGATAATAGCAGCACATTCACTCCTTTTTATGGATTATCCGGGAGTGAAGAAACAAATAGCGTGGATACAAACTATTGGCCTATAGAAAAGTACTTTCGTCTGTTTTTTTTTTTTTTGCAGTGAAGGAAATTGTCGAGAAATGTTGCGTATCTGGTTCTATCCAGTGAACCAAAAACTTTTACATTTTAGAAACACTTAAATATGTTTCCATGGGCGCGTAAAACGGCCTACAGAACAACGTGAGTGAAATTCGAAAGTGCTACATTTTCCCACAAAAGGAAATTAGAGTAAGGGGGAGAATCAAGAATCAACAACTCAAATGATTTTTTTTTTTCCCTGCGTGTGTTTGTGTGGGCAGCTTCAGAATCTGAATCAGCTTCCGTGGCCTCCTCACACCTGTTCCATCTTCATAAAGTTTTCACTACCCAGTGAAACTATTTAAATGTTCGGTAATAACAATCAATTAAAACTGCCTGAACAATGTCCATGAACGATTCCTCTTCGTGGCTGCAGGAAAACACAAGTGAGATATTACATAAAGCAGCCTTCTATCAGCGCAGCCCTGCTTAATTTCGCATTAACTCCTCGGTGTGATAATGATGTCCAACAACAAGACAGACATTAGTCGATAAGCCTCGCCCTGCAAACTGAAGGGCCAGTGAATAGATTGGCCTGATTTGGGTTGTTCAGGGGGTTGCATGCTCTCTCCTCACTCATTTGTTTCCAATTGAAGACAGAAATCCTGACTGGCGTGGAGCTGGCCGGGGGACGTGATTAATGATGGTAGTGGATAAGGGTTAACACACTGGACTCAAAGCTCTGTTGACTAGGATCCTCGTGCGCACAATGCCAAAGCACTATAGCCTGCGCGCCTCCAGAGAGAGAGGATCCTTTTGTCATCTCCTCCAATGGCTCCCCCCTCCCATATATTACACCCACCGAGGGCTCACTGCTCGTCCCGGGCTGTGTCCATAGTTTAATGGTTTCCCTTACTCCTGAAGGCATTGTATCATTCTGAAAAGCGTCTTCTCCTATTCAAAAGTTGGTGGTCACCTCAATGGCTATACCAACGCCCATATGGGAACGACCATTGAGGCATTGCTCTGCCCCCTAAAAAAAAAAAAAAAAAGGGGGCTAGAGAGTTTGGGGTTTTAATACATTTCATAGGCTGTGAAAAGAGAGCTCGCCACATCTTGTCACATTTCTCTTAACCTTTTGAGAACACACGCCATTGTTTTGGGAGCGAGAAGTACGCGCAGCCTTTTCCCCTCGCCAACACGTTTTGTTCCCACAATATTTTATAAACAGTTTGACCGCGGAGCCTTCTTCAGATTGTGTCTTTTCACGCAGGCTGTAATCTGGCTGCATTAAGAAGGGAATGGCAATCATTCCTCTGATTTTGAGTCCAATCAAGCATGACCGGGGCCTTTAATTAATGATGTTGCACCGCGCTCTGTACAATTAGTCGCAGACTGATACAACACGGGGCCCAAGAATTAATTATTCAATTAGCTTAATTGAATGTATATTTCCATTATAACCTCCACCCCCCTCTCTTTTTTTTTTTCTTTTTTGCAGATGGTTGCCAGCAACAAGACGGTGCAGGAGAAAACACAAACTCCATCAGCTCGAACGGAGAGGACTCAGAGGAGACACAGATGCGTCTGCAGCTCAAGAGGAAACTACAGAGAAACCGAACTTCTTTCACACAGGAGCAGATTGAAGCGCTGGAAAAAGGTGCAACAATCTATGAATCATGTCTTTATGAATGTTTTTTTTTTTTTTGTCATAGCTTCGTCTTATTAAAAGAAAACACGTTGCTGATCATTTTAGATCGACTTATTATGAGCCTTTGACACAGCGAATATTCCACTACGCCCCAGATAAAAATAAACTTATTGGATTTATTTGAAAACGTATTTGCTTACACATGTCTTGTGCGTATTTTTGCATTACAGAATTTGAAAGAACCCACTATCCAGATGTGTTCGCACGAGAGAGACTAGCAGCGAAAATCGACCTGCCCGAAGCAAGAATACAAGTGAGTGATGAGAACAGCTAAAGAAAACAACGTTTTTCAGAAATGCTGTTTAAAAGATGTATGTAAACTAATAAGAACCTCACCTTGCATCACAGGTTTGGTTCTCAAACAGAAGAGCAAAGTGGAGGCGAGAGGAGAAGCTGCGCAACCAGCGCCGGCAGGCCAACAACTCCTCCAGTCACATTCCCATCAGCAGCAGCTTTAGCACCAGTGTGTACCAGGCCATCCCACAGCCCACCACGCCGGGTAGGTCCACCACACAGCCAGGGCACTACTTTAACATCGTCCAACTGTCAAAAAATAAATAAAAACAATTGTATCTAAAAATGTAATTTTTCATCAACTGTATTTGACAAATGAAGCACATAAAGCAATAACACAATTGAGCGTCCATGAGTTCAAGTCAGCAGATGAAAACAACTAAATATTATTATGAAAAAGCCTGCGGAGGAATATAAAAAAAAAAAAAAAGAGCAAAGAGGCCTCTGTGTCAGTGCGCTCTAGTTCACATGAAGAAGCAGCGGTGGTTTCCCTTTGATGGATGATTGAGCAAAACTTCTCAGCTGACTCTGTGCGTAATTACCGCATCAGGCAGGAGGGCACACACCGGCAGAGCTGCAGCTCATGCTCACAAGTCAATCACCTGAGACTCACGGTGTACAGTATATCTGTCCGGGCCCATCAGCCTGTCACATGAGGCGTCAGCTTACACACGCACTACTTAACGCTAATGAGACGGCATCCTGCACTACACAACACTCTGTTCATGTGTCTTTTTTTTAATGTTTTTAAATCTTATTCACAGTGTCCTTCACCTCGGGGTCAATGCTGGGTAGACCTGACTCTGCACTCGCAAACACCTACAGTGCACTGCCCCCCATGCCCAGCTTCACCATGGCAAACAATCTACCTATGCAAGTAAGTAAAAAGGCCTTTACAGTCAAATGTTATAAAGGATGTCATTTTATTATATCTTTTTTGGTGATTTATATGATTTTTAAGAGTGGAATAAAAATTAAAAAAAAACAGCATGAGTATTTTTCAAAATGTTTCCTGGCCAAAATAAAATCTTCCTTTAAACCGTCTATTTTTAAATTAAAGGATAATAAACCAAAAAAAAAATAATCGAAATAAAATGAAAGACATTTGAGAGCTGACAGTATTAAAGACTTCAAATATGGTTGGCTAAGCTAATGTAACATTCTCTCCCCCATCTATAGCCCAGCCAGACCTCCTCTTATTCCTGCATGCTGCCTACCAGTCCGCCTGTGAACGGGCGGAGCTACGACACATACACGCCCCCTCATATGCAGGCACATATGAACAGCCAATCAATGACCACTTCTGGTACCACCTCAACAGGTAGGCAGAAAGCTCATTGTTTACCAACATGCTTGGGAATTAGTGCACTCTTTTTGAAACTATCTGCCACCACTTGCTCTAACTAGGCCTTCCATAGCCGTCTCTGATTCATGCTCTGTCCTCCTCATGCTTTTAACGTATCGATAGCTTTACATCCCACATCATTTTCCTCCTGCGGCTGCATGAACCAAGCTCATTTCATCGCCAGCTCTACGCCATCATGTCACTCCCACTACTCCAGCCCATAGTTTAGTTCCACCCCATTAGGATGCTGTTACTGGGAGCCATATATACCGGTTATAGTCATGAAGAGTTAATCATGCAGAACCACATTTCCTCTGTGCTAAATTGCTAATTAATTTGATTCATTTGCTGTTGTACTCTCTCTGTTTAAATGCCATTGCCAAAGCCTCAATTTATCGAGCTTGCGAGCCTTTTACTGTGCAACCATGTGCAGAGCATTGTGACTCATTGCAGCTCCACTGCTCGTCTACCTATTTGCAAGTGCTTAAAGCACAATGCTCTGTGATATAAGGCGAACTGTGCATGGTGCATCCACTCATCTAATTTAGCATGTCGACTTAAGGGGCCTGTGCTTTTTATTTATTTTTCTAACTGACGTCTTTTTCTCTTTCCCTATCTCTGCAGGACTCATCTCTCCTGGAGTGTCTGTCCCTGTCCAAGTCCCAGGCAGCGAGCCTGACATGTCTCAGTACTGGTCAAGACTACAGTAGAGAGAAGAGCTACTTCACCCTGTAACCACCCACTCCACCATCGCCCTCCGGCAGTGCTCCTCACACATACACGGCACAGGAGAGTAGAGAAGGCGAGGAAGGGTTGAATGGAGGCAAAGGACATAAGAGGAAAGGAGGACAGAGAGAGAGAGAGAGAGAGAGAGACTCTGGGAGAGCTTTGGGATGTCTGGGCTTTGTTTTTTCCGGTGGGACCGTGTGCTGTTCTGTAGCTCTAGGCACATTCAAACAAACGAGGACTTGGAAGAGAGAACAAGGATGGAAAGACGGGAAAAAAAATATGGACCTCTGTAAAGTGCCCGGTGTTAACATTTTTATGGAACAAAAACTTATCTGTTTTTTTTCTATTTCCAACTTCAGTCATTGTTTCCTTTTTTTCTCTGGTGTGTTAGTAAATGGCCATTTGTATGTTAATATGAAAAACCAAGATCAAGTACTGATAGATGGACTGCTAGAAAACCATGTTGGTCTTGCGTTTGTTTTTGCGAGAGGAGAGATTCTGCCATGACTATCTTTTTAATCTGCTTATATCGAGACTTTCTACCAGCCTTTGCATGGTCTCTGGACGCTGTTGCATATCATTAAAGACGAAAAAAGCTGGAGGGAAGACTCTTACTGTGTCAGAAAAAAAATAAACTATTTATTGGTCTTATTTCGTACGGATGGATATTTAGCGGAGGATACTGAAAAAAAAAAAAAAAAAAACTTGATCCACCCACTGAGGCTGTGGTCTCCCCTCTGACTTATTAAACACGGATCGACAGCTCGATGTGTGCAAAGACGACGCGACATGCAACACAACTTGGACCTCTTGCTTCGGTGGTTGGATTGACTCTAGTATACCACGAAGAACATTAAATGTGGGGAAAACAGGTGTCAAAGAAAACCTGTAGTCTGTAAATGGTAGACTGCGTCTTCGATATAATCCAGTTTGTTTATGTCAAAATGTAAAGTACTTGTCTTCCCTAGAAATCTTCCAGAAAGATTTCTCCAATAAAAGTTGATTTCATTTATATCCCCGAGAATATTCTATAAATGTTCCACGCATCATGAAATACATTTCTTTAGGGTCAGGTACAATTTGTCTCTTAGCTATAGTTGTATTATAGTGTCCTATGGTCAAAAAAATGTGCAACTAGAAATATTTAATTCCTATAATTATGATTAAACATTGCTTGACAGAGTTTTAAACTTAAGTGTTTGGCAGTTGTTTACAAGTACATATCAGATTTAATCATTGTTGATTGTAAAACAGACCAAAGCCTTTGTATTTCATCTAGTACACAGTGTTTTTTTAAAGATATTAGTCTTGTGTTGCAAAACTTTTGTAAACACGTTCTGTTTCGATTACATTGGCTTCGAGTTTGTGCGACTGCAGTCGAACCCCGCAGTCCTTATTTATAATTGAAGACCATGGGAGGGTTTTTCTAGCATCATCTGTCATGCTCTTTTGAGTTGTTGCATTTTGATTTCAGTGTGCGTAGAACATGGACACACACACTGGGTTTACGTCTGAGCAATGCTTCTGAGATAAAAACGTCTACACGCTGTCTCTTAAATATTTCAATTTAATTTTATTTAAAATGGAGCTTTCTAAATGTATTTTGTGAAAACTATAAAACATTTTGTACAGTAAAATTGTGTCTTAAAGAAAGCCTTTTTGCCTGTTCAATTCATACACAGTGTCGGAGTCAAGGATCTTGGACATACAAATGCATCATAGCTGCAACTTTAAACAAATCCAACGCTGACAAATGCCAGTACAAGGGCTCCTATTTCACACACAACACCTCCAATTCCCACAAAACAAAGGTGTCCACAATAACAAACCCTCTCCTGATGTATGGGCTGAACCAAGTCGACACAGACCACACAGCACACCGCCACCACACAATGAGAAAGGTCAAGCAATTCACCATCACTGGCTCTTGTTGTGGCAGAGTTACGATGGTATGAAGAAAAAAAAAAATTACAGAACCAATGAGGAGGTGGAGGGCGCAGAGAAGAGAGAGAGAAAAGTCATGGAATAAAGCAGTCAGTGCCTAGAGCGAGGCAAAGGAGCGATTGTGTGGCAGAGTGAGTTATTTTGCTTCACTTGCTGCCACAGCAGGGGGGTCGTGTGTGTGTGTGTGTGTGTGTGTGTGTGTGTGTGTGGATTTGAAGGGATGTGTTAGAAAGAGAGCGAGAGAGCATCCAAGAGAGAGTGAGGTCAGCATGTAACAGCACCAAATATCATGTTAAGACTGACTGACTTATTAAATTGACCCATCTCAGTCGATACCTAATAGTCCAATCAGAACTTGAAGGATTTCAGCGTGATCACATTTCTTTACGGTGATTTATATTTCTTCTCTGCGATAATTCGATATCTCCATTCTGGTAATTTCATCCAGTTTATCACAGGACAGAGAAATCAGGGAAATACTGTTTCCACAGCGCAGAGAAGGAGACGGAGAACAGGTTAGGCGACTGTGCCGAGGCAGAGCAGGAACATGAATAATTACAGAGGCAGGATGAAAAGGAAGGATTCAAAAATGCAAGCAAGACTCGCAATTAGTGGAAGTCTAAATAATACACAACGTCAGGATGAAAAGGATTGGATTTAAATCTCACTCAGAACAAAGTCAGGCAATTTAAGTTTCTGGGAAAAGTCCTTGAGAAACTTTGAACTCTGTAATCTGTTAGTTTGACTGAGAATCTCCGTCTGTGTTTCATGAAGTAGAGCTTCTCTCTTTGCTGTTAATAGAACACACCATAGTCCAAGTTTGTGTTTAAAAAAAAAAATGTTAAACAAATATGGTAACATTATTATCTAATGAGTCAGACACAATCTTTATTTATGGTCTGCCCTTATTCAAACTTTGATAACTTCAGATAATCCTTTACTGATACTCAGAGATGACATAAAAAATAGCGCACAAAAGCTCAAGTAGGAAACCACTATGATCTTGATTGGGATCAACAGGACAAAAGCGATTATAAAAGTCTACTCTCTGTTATGTACTAAAGGCCTTTGAAGAAGTAGGCCCTTTAAAATGTGCCCACAACATTCAGAGATTCTTTACATGTTACCTTTTGCAAATCAATTTAAATGATACACATGTTGTATTTTTTTCTACCTTTAACACTTTATAAACAGTGTTTTAACTGAGTAGTAAAAGAAAGTTGAGGAAAAATATCCTCATGTAAAATGAATTCTGTGAGGTTTGTGTCTTATAAGGGTTGATGTTGAGGGATCAGAAGTACCCCGGTGTAAAACCATGAATATGTTCCAGTTACTGTGTTCAGAGGTTGAAGTAAGTTTACTGGTACTATAAATGAATCGTCATTGCAGAAGCTAGCTAGCTCCGGCACGGTTGAAGTGTGCACAGGCGACTTTATTTAAAGGGATAGCGCACGGACCAATCAGGTGTGAGAAGTTATATTGTAAATGCTGTTTATTTTTTTACTTGACGAATATGCAGAGCAGCATGGGAAATATATGTAAATCGGTTGAACAAGTATACACAAAACTAGTTTGAGTTCACTAAATTCTAAACTTAACACTCATTATCTCTAAATCTAGTACAAGAAGAAACTGACTAGAAATGTGTTCATGGTTTTAACATGAAACAAACCACTACAAACTTTCTGAACTTACTCAACTTGAATCAGCACCAAACTGTCACAAGTGAACAAACAGACTGTACCAGAAGCATGGAAATATAAACAAATGGCAAAATGAATTCTGTCTCTTTTAATCTGTTTTTAAAGTGCACCCTGAATATGTCAGCTGTTCAAAAACACTAACTTGGAAAACAGTTTTTATCTTGACAACAGAAGCTTTCTTTCACCTGTATTTTTGACCTGTGTACGTCATCTCTCTCTCTCTCTCTCTCTCTCTCTCTCTCTCTCTCATACACCTGATATTAGAGCTCTCCATCCATGCATGAAACTGTCAGGTAACACTACACTCTCCCAACACGTGTTGCAGATGCTTACCAATACTGCCACTTTTCACAGGCAAAAAAAATCAAAGTGGCATCAGCAGCAGACTGAGGAAAACAAGAATGAAACATTTAGTTTTTCATGTTGTTGTTTTTTTTTTTCCACATTTCTCCATGTCACCATTTGACCTAATTTGTTCTTTTGGGCTTGTCATGGCAAAGCAGCTCATCCAGCAAACATGCCTGATGAGGTGTGAAGCCTGCACCCAAATCTAGCTCTCCTACCCTCTGCCCACATTCCCCCGCTCTGCTCTCCAGCTAACTGGAGGTAGACATCACTCACCAGCACAGTCTCAGGGTCAGGCGGAGGCATCGCTGTTCAAATCTGAAACCAGCCAGGCAGACCACAGATCAGTCATTCAGAACTCACTCACTTACATACAGACGACTTTCTCTTTAGAGCTGGTGCGTAGTGAAACAATAAAGATCATATGGTGTGTATTTTGTATTCATTTTCTTTTATTTAACAAAACAAAAGCAGATTGTATTGCATACTAGTATTGTACATGATGGAGCTAGACAGGGGTGGCCACTTGTTTTGTAAAGTAGAGCATGGGAACATGCAGTTTAATTATTTAATGTTTTCCAAGCCGGAGACTTTATAAAGAATGAAAAATACTTCAGGATGTCATTTTACTCGTATTCAAATTCTCCAGGAGCAGCAAAAAAACAATGTACCAAATCTTTAAAGAGTCCTCCATCTGACTTCCTCATTTGAGTGAAAAAGTCAGCAGGCCAATCATAAATCGTCTTACATTTTTTGCAGCTTAAAGCAGGGAGGGGGGCTGTGGGTATTAAAAAAGTTGCTTTGTAACAGAAGTTAAATGAACTTTTTATGACGGCTTGGAATGTGCAAATATAAGCTATCAGACTTTAGACAAAAACACCACAGAGTGCACTGTATTTTTAATTCTAAAAGTACTTGAAGGTTGACACATGTCCATTATGAGAAGATTTACTGTGGATGTTTAGGTAGTCACCCCTGGCTGGCACAGTTGGCAGGTGGTAAAGGCGGCCAGGGTTATCACTTCTGACATTGTGTGGGCGAGGGAACAACCCGGTCACTGTGGTTAAGAGGACAACGCAGTAGCGTTCCAGGTGTTAGTTGCCGGTGGCGACTGTGTGGGAGTTCTAGAAGTCCAGGTGTTTGTTGCCGGAAGTAACGGAGCCACAGGCTGAAGCCACGGCGGCCGCTCCTGAAAGCTCCCCCCTGCTTACACGACTCACCGTCTCAGACAAGTCTGGAGGCAAATGTAGTCTCTACAGAAATCAGAGAAAGAGAGAGAGAGAGAGAGGGGACGGGGGTATTAGATAAGCTTGTATGGAGAAAAAAAAGAAAGCACTACAGTAGATCAACATACAGTAGACAGTACACTTCAGTGATGTTTATTCAGAGAGCCATGTTGGGTTGAAATTGCATTAGATGCTTCAGCACTCCTCCCAGCACTGGCAGCATGGAGTAAACCTGCTAGCGTGCTGCTAAATGCTTCAGAGAGCTTTAGGTCTGTTACAGCTCACTGGGAGTGTGTGTTTGTGTACATTTGTGTGTTTATGTGTGTGAGTTTGATGCTGGGGTGTATTGAGAAGTTGTGTACGGGACAGACCAGCATGTATTTATGAGGTTAGGCAAGAGAAAGTGTGTTCTGACACAAATGCATAATGCTCCAGCTGGATCTGATTCTTTGTTTACTGTGTTTGAAACACAGATGATTATGTTAGGCTAATACCAGAGTCAAGCCTTTTAGCTGTTTCATAGAAAAGCTTATCTATGGAGCAGCCCTGTGCCAACTCAAAGCACAAAGACGTTAAGAGGTTAATGAGGGCCACTCATGCAAAGCCCTTTAACACCAACACGCTAACTAATATAAAGCTCATGAGGGCCTTCACTTCTCTGCTCTCTCCAGAAGCTGCAACAAGGGCCGCCACTTGCACTGAGTGATCAAAGTCTTCAAGAGTTTCTGAGAGCGTGAGAGTAGGCGAAAGCATCTCCAGAGTCAAGTGTGCGTCTGACAATAGTGTTGAGTAGCGC